TGGCCGTAAACACCTTGTTATGGTGTTGAAGTGTTTATTTGTTACACATTTCCCCATAAAAGATACTTCCTTTTATTTGTCCTTTTGACGAATTTTAAATAAAAACACCCAAACAGGCTTTAAACCGGCCAAAAATGTACTGAAATGAATTTGACTAATATTTGCAGTGCTTGACTGTAGAGTTTATACAAATGAAAATTTTGGGTTGTCACAGTTTAACATATAAAAGAGTTTATAAAACGATTTGAAGCAGTTTGTTTGATAACACAGTTTTGAAATATAAGAAATCCACTTGTTTGATAGTTATTAATCACATGTGATTGATACAATAACTATAATGTTTTCTACTTGTATTCCCCCCCCCCCATAAAATCATTTAAAATCATTTAAAAGATAAGTTAGGGGTATGAACTCACCTGTAGTGAGTGATTCGAGTGAAAGATCGCTATAGGGTGCTAAGTGTCAAGTGAAGTCTCGAGCACAAACGGATCCTATTAAGCATATAATGACACATATATTTATATAAATAGTGTATATAACAACTAATCATGGAAGGGAACCACCTTAAGGACTAGGAAACACTTGAATTGAAGTGTTACAATCACATATGATTGCATTAAAGGGGTTTACGGCCACACAAGTGTGTTCACGGCCTTGGTGTTTACGGCCATAGTGTTCACGGCCATGGGAGTTTACGGTCAATGAAGATCTTGAGGAGGTTGTACGGCCAAGGGAGATGCTCATGGCCGTAAACTCTTATTTTTCTTGGGAAATGTTTGTTTTCGAGGGTGTATGTTAAGAGCTTCTATAGGATAACTAGTATATGGAAGATTACTTACGTTTTGAAGCTTGAAGGGGGTGTTCACGGTCCAAGAACTAGTATGTGTTCTTGGTGTTCTTGGTGTAAGTGATGAAGATTTGAAGATCTAACCAAAAGAGATGAAATCATAGGGTTTCACTAGATTAAGCAAGGTACCAACTAACAAATGGAAGAAACACTTACATATTTGAAGATCAAGATGAAAACTCTTGATGATAGTTGAGAGAGAATCGAGTTTCTTGAGTTGGAAGTGTGAGAAGTGGTGAAAAATGAAGGAATATCATGTATATGGGAGGAATTTACGGCCAGCCAAGAGTTTACGGCTGTAATCTCTAGTTTACGGCCGTAAACTCCAAGACTTGGAGTTTTTCGGCTCGAATGCTGCACAGTGAACTCTAGCAGATACTCCCTAACACCAAATCCTTGAATGTACTAGGCTTAGAACACTCGAACAGACCCTTAACAATGCTAAAAGATAGCAGAAACAAGTCTGACTTATGATTGAATTGAATGGCTTTACAAGATAGAAATTTCGGGTTGTCACAGTTGTGAAGTTCATCAAACTGAAAAACTTTATAATATGGAGTTCCATACACAGATTCAAATATAATCTTTGCTTGACAACCAATAACCCTTGAATTCGAATTTCTTTTCCTTCTAACACCACTTGTACCCAATGTGTCACAAGATTTTTTTTGTTTGCCACCACGATTGCATATAACATGTTTCTTCTTTATAATATTGTTATCAAACCTTGTTTCTGTGCTCGGTCTCACATCAAAACCACCAATTTCAGCATACTCAGAGTACATTTTGATGGCCAACTTTAACGATTTGAAGATTAAACCTTCAAATGGAATAAGTTGAACAGGTACATTTGGCTTATAGACATGTTCTCCAATTACATTACTACAATATTGTGCATCATCTACTGAACTCGAAAATTCACCTGATAAAAAATTATAAAATCTAAATCAGTCTAGTGACACTTTATTTTAATAAACAATAAACACAAAGACACTCTTTATTCACATATGAATAAACCAAAAAACAATGTTTATTAATGCAAGAATAAAACAATCATATATGAATACATAAAATTCATATGACTAAAAAAACAGTATTTATTCATATATGAATAAAACAAAAATAATAATAAATTCGAAATTACAATTATCACACGTTTATTAATATATGAATAAGACAATAATTTATTCAGATTTACATATTCATATGTAAATACATGATCATCACCAAAATTAAAAATAACATAAGAACAATTAGTGATACCCTTAATAAATGAGTTCTCAACATCTTCTTCTTCATTCTCACACATTGAAAAATAGAAATCGGCATCAATAACACTCGAATTTGACATAATAAACCAATTGAACTGTAATAAACAACAAAAACAATCTTAATATTGATGAAATAATTATAAAATAAAATAGAAACTGAACGACAACAACATTAATATCAATTCAAAATCAAAACAAAAAACACAAAAAAATCGTAAATATGAAAACCTGATCAATTTCGAATCTGTCTCACTTCAGAGTGTACAAACGATCTGCTTCAAAATTAAATCAGTTGCGATCCGATGATGCGATCGCAATACAGATGTCAAACTTTACAAAAAAAATCTGATGAAGCAATTGCAATACTGACGACAGCTCGTGAACCCAGGTATTCATCAAATACAGATCTAAAACTTCATGACAAATGGATAAGCGACCCAAATTCAATGAATACATGTAATCGCTAACGAATTATATAAAGAAAGAATCTTGATAATGAATTCCGATATATCCGATTCAAATGAGATAAAGATTAACGAATTTCGATTGAAAATGAAGAAAGAATAATCGGATTGATATTCAATATCTAAGGAAATCGGAAACTGAATATGAATAAGAAAGAAGGCGATCTAAAAAGTGGCTAATTTACATATATACCCTTAATGAAAAAATGATCTGCACGTTTTTAAGGTTTACATGTTAGTTAAATGATTGGCTGAGAATGATTCCCCCATTCTCAATCTTTTTTTTATTTTCTCAATTGAACTTACTTACCCTCTCTCTCTCTCTCTCTCTCTCTCTCTCTATATATATATATATATATATATATATATATATATATATATATATATATATATATATATATATATATATATATAGGGAAAAGTTCAATAGAGAACCATAATTATTGGTTCTTCAAGGAACCAAATCTTTTTTTCAATTTCTAGAGCTTATTCTTTATCGAAAAAAAATCTAAAAATATCTAAATTCATATATTAAAATTGTGAATGTGAAAAATATTTTTCGGATTCACCGTGTGAATCCGGATTCACATTGTGAATTTTCAAAGATTCACATTGTGAATTTGACGTAAAAAAAATCGAATTTGATATCATTGGAAAAAAGGATAAAAAGTTATGAATTTCTGTATTTTTAGTTTTTTTTTGATAAAAAATAAGTTCTAAAAGTTGAAAACAAGATTGGTTTATTGGTTCCTTGGTTAATTATGGTTCTCTATTGAACCTCACCCTATATATATATATATATATATATATATATATATATATATATATATATATATATATATATATATATATATATATGCTTAGGTTATTATATTCTAACTAATTATTGTGTGAATGAATGAATGATTGTGGGCCAATCATTTTACTTATTTTAAGAAAGTGATTAATACATATTATTGAATTAAATATAATTGAAAAATATCATCTAATTTAACTAGAAGGGTATTTTAGTCAATTAATATAGATTTAATAAAGGAAATTTGCATATTTTAAGGGATCATAGATTCTATTAATTTTAAAAATCTGATTTTACGAGTTATAAGGTTTTAATTCGGACATTCTGACAGAATATGTTTGAGTATGTTCAAAAATAAAAATATTCTTGAACCATAAAATAATAAAAATATTCTTGAACATATTTCTTGATCATGACTTTAAAAAAATTTTGTAGAATAACAAAATTCTCGAACCATCAATTGAAGAATTAAAACAAAAATTACATTAATTCTTATAGAATACATGTAACAATTGCAAAGAATTACATTTATTGTTAAAGAATAAAACTAAAAAACTTTCAAATCGGGAAAAAAAAACATCAAAATCTAACAAATACACTAATTCATTCTAAAAGAATAACGTTGCTAAGAAACACTTTCAATTTTGTTGTCCGTTCTTCAAGCATCAACTTCTGTGAAAACAAATCCAATTGTAGTTTAGAATCCAATAACGCATTAGCAAATGATAAATAAAAAACTATATTCCTTTGGAAAAATATGCGGACTTGTTAACTGCACCAAAACCAATAACCAAAAATTGTAGAACATGTATAATCAATGAGAAAATATCCATATTCCATTCCAACATAATTAGAATTCGTGTTTCCATTCCGATAGAATTTGAATTCGTGATTCCATTCCGATAGAATTGGAATTCTATAAAATACACAAACCACTAAGGGATTACTAGAAAGCAGTTTCATAAGTTGATGGACAAATATATGAATCATACACAGAAAGGAGGAGTAAAATTTGTGACAACTTGGACGCCTCTTACAGATGACCAACCATCATGAAATTGAAAACCATCATTTAATGAATATTAAAATAAAAAACTCATCAAATCTCCATACAACATATATGCTCTAGGAAACAAGTTTTTGTCATCATTGTTTTATATAAAAAAAAACAATTAAGTTAATACAAATAAAAAGAAAACTTACTATGAAAGTCAAATAGATATAACATGCGATTCAATAATATATCTCAGTTTTAAAAATATGGTTGAATTTTGAACTTTAAATCTCAAAATAAACGATATCCTCCAATAGCCACAAGCCCAAAACTCCATAAACAGTTTAGAATTGGCATATAGATTACAATAAAAGCTTCTAGAACTAATGAAAGTAAAAAAAAATGTCGATAACAAAAAAGTTTAAATTGCAAGATACAGGGAATAAATCAACACTAAATCTAATAGATAGGATTATATCCTATTTTATTATTAAGAAGAAAAATATTACCTCAAAAGCCAGTGTTCGTATGTATCAAGCCCAGCAAAAATCGACAAACCTTGATGAACCCTAGATTGTTAGGATTTGGGTTACGATGGCAACCGGTAAAACTCAAATAAACTTCAATTTCACCTGATGGGATCGGTCGGAGGTGTGGACATCGGAAGGGAGCGACGAGCGACGGAGTAGACATGGCAGGCAGATAACGTCGATGAGTAATTGTTGATGGCGATCGGAGATGGCGATGGCAATCGATTTTTGTAGAACTCAAGATCGATTTTGTAGTCTATTCCAATTTTGCAGATCGGCAAAGATTTGGTTTTTAGATAAAGAGGGGAACGACTCTAGATATAAACATGGAGAAATTAGGTTAAAAGTCAATACCATGATTATAGGGATTATTTTTGGAAGTTATTAATCATATTACTAAATTACCCTTATTTATTTAATTAATTATTTAATTTTTTATTTAATTTTGATTGGCCCACATTTATGCATACAATCACACAATAATTACTTTGAACACCTGAACCTCTTTCTCTCTCTCTCTCTCTATATATATATATATATATAATATATATATATATATATATATATATAGGGGTCCGGTTCCGATGATGACTCAAAAAATGGTGAGGACAATTCTTCATCACCCATTTCGTCAAGGGCACAAACGTCAAACACATATACTTGGTTGTGGTGCGTTCGCATGCGACCCATGTCCATGGTAACTAATATGGACTCGAGGATTTAATCACGTGCAACGAAGGTTCATGGAACGTCATTTAAGTGGGTTCTATTATTTATTTTTGTTTATATCTACTTTTTTTAATTTTAAAAAAAATTAAACAAATATATGCTCGGTTTTAACGTTTTTTATGTTTTTTTTCTTTTTATTCGTACATGGAGTCGGGGGAGAATGGCTTTTGGTTTCTTTATTTTACAAATGGGCATGTTGGATCATATATCTATCCATATATCGGGATAGATAGATTGATCATCACACCCGAGATCTTTGATAATGGCGATATCCACTCATATGGCCATGTTCTATTCCGAGGAATAAAATAAAATTGTCTTTCGAAGAGATGGATGAGTGGTTGAAAGCACCGGTCTTGAAAACCGGTATAGTTTACTATCGAGGGTTTGAATCTCTCTCTCTCTCTCTCCTTTTTTGCTAGTTAAATAAATTTGTTTCTTTATGGGATTGGTTTTGACCGAATGGTTTCATTATCATAAAGAAAGGGGAGTGGCTCGGCTATCCCGCCTAGCCAAGCCAGAAAATAGGATTAAATATAAATGAGTTGAAAATAAAGAATATTTTTTTATGGCATGATCCCTATATGTATGAAGGAACCGAAGTGACTCCTAGTTCAAGTCTTTGATCTCCTATCTCAATTAAGAGGGTTCATGGAAAGAACATGTTCAAAATCACGATAATTCCTTTTTCAAATCCTGCTACAGCTGCACAAGCTCTTCCTGTGTGCCACAAATTCCCTATGAAGAAGAAGAATCCTAGAACAAAATGAGAAGCAGCTAACCAACTTCTAGGAGAGACATAATTGACTACATTGATCTCGGTAGCTACGCCACCCACAGAATTTAAACAACCTAAAATACCATGGGTCATATATTCTGCGGAACAACGTTCTTGCCAAGGTTGTATATCTTTTTTAGCTGACGTAAGTCCAACCCAATTGGACCCCTTAGGGGTTCTAACCAAGGAGCACATATCCCAAAAATGCATAGTTTCTCCTCAAAAAATGACTTCTTTAGTTGGGGAACGCATTAAATATTTACCTAAACCGGTAGGAACTTGAGCAGATCCAACGTTAGCTCCAAGACGTTGGTCTCTAACTAGAAAAGTAAATGCTTGGGCTTGAGAAGCTTCTGGTCCAGTTGGTCCGTAAAACTCACTAGGATAAGCAGTATTATTGAACCAGACAAAACAACAAGCAATAAAACCAAAGACAAATATAGCCGCTAATCTATAAGATAAGTAAGCCTCTCCAGACCATACAAGTGCTCGTCAAGCCCATGTGAAGGGTTTGGTTAACTATGTCAAATTTGTCACACCCCCAAACCAGTCGGCGGAAACGTCTGGGGGTGGATGGCTTCATTCGTAGTATCACAACACATGCATTATAGTAATCAAAGTACAAACAACCATTGTATTTAAAAAGTATAAGTATTTACATGTGTTCCATCATTGTATATTGAAACCAAAATAGTTATACAAAAGAAGAAGACAAGACTCAAAATAGCTCCATCTTCTCAAAAGCTCGGGGAGTACCTGTCTACTGATTCCCTGAGAATACAAGTATATTGAAAAAAGAGTATCAACATAAAGTTGAGTGAGTGCATAAGTGTTTATGTTTGAAAGTATGTTTCTGTTTCTTGCATATGTAAATCGTTACATAAAATCCTATATTTTCTGTTGTATATGAAAAGTAGTTTTAATCTCATAAAACCATTCTGTTTGTAAACTAATGTTCTGTATTTGTATTCCTTTATGTAAAACTTGTAACCGTGAGTGTGCCTGGTTCCACCAGTTGTTATTGTAATTTGTAATGTAATACTGTAAATTGTATCTTGTAAAACTAGTACTTTGAAAATGTACTTAAGTTTAGTTAATTATACACTAACGTATTGTTAATATACTTTTATTGAGTTATTATAACCATACTGACTAGATGGCCTGACCCAACGCATTGAAGGCGTTGAAAGCTGTTGATAACAACTGTCACTCGTAGGAGTGTATGCCTGACTGTAGTTAGCAGTCTGAGTGCGGGGTTGTCAATCCCAATATAGATCTATACACACATTGTTTCGATCCCCGGCTGGAGATTCTGGTTATAATGTCAGGACTTTTAACTATATTGCTTAAATGAATTAAACAACCTGTATCAAAACACTCATAAAAAGCATATAAACGTTACATGTATAATAGTTATGAAAACCCAATCATTCTGAAATAAATGATTAACAGTATGTTTTTAATTAGTTTCTTACATGTATATGAAAAATGTATACTCTTGATTAGTTTTGAATCAACCTTTGTTCTTGTAAAACAGTGTACTTTAGTATACTTGAATCGTGAATTAATATTCTATGAATCATAAATTATACCTATTATAATTTATATGTACTTTCTGAATTGATATTAACTGTTCATGAATGCAACCCCTTGCTCAACATGCTACAAAGGGTATTTGGACTGAATGAAATAGCTTTTATATTTATATACATATACAATTATACATAAGTAAAATTTAAACGACATTCGGACAAATAACCGATACTTATAATCCCACATCCAAACAAGGAAAAGGAACCAAAGTGGGTTATCAGTCCTAAGCTTTTAAATCTTATTTATATAAGATTATATATATATATATATATATAATATATATATATATATAATATGATTTCTGGGGAAAAATATAAGTTTATAAAAACATTTAAAAGAATTTTAATATTTTGAAATAGGATGCTTAGTTCCACGAGTGAAATCCCGCAAGAAAACAAGTCCTATATAATGATTTGTATAGCATATATGCATCCAATTAGCTAAAATAATCATAGGAATGATTAGAAACTGGACTAATTTGTAAGTATAACATACAAATTGAAGTGTTTGAAGCTAGATTGGAGGTTGAAATGGGTTTACGGCCAAGAGTTTACGGCTAGGAGAGTTGACGGCCAGGTGTTCTTGAAGAATGAAGAACACTTGATGATCCTAGACCAGATTCTAAGAAGATTCAAAGGTTTTGAGGTGCTTGTTCTTCACGTGTTCTTCGCGTTCTTCTTGAAAACTAGTAAAATCAATGGGTCTTAGCCTAATAATTGAAGATGGAAGGGTTCTTGAAGGATAACAGATCAAGAATTGATACCTGTTAGATTATGTGATGAACTAGTGTTTAATCACTTGAATAGATGAAACAATGATGATCTTGGTGTGTTCTTGAGAGAAGATATGATGTTCTTGGTGGATGATACTTGAGAGAAAAAGCTTGAAATCTCGCGTGGAAGTAAGAAAATGAAGTAAAAACTAGCTGGAATTATAATATATATATATAGATATATAATATATATATATATATATATATATATATATATATATATATATATTATACTATATATATATATATGCGAGGGTTCACGGTCCGAGGGTTTACGTCCGAGGTCGGCTAGAGTTTACGACCGAGAACGTGTTCCAATGCGATAAGGTTCAGTTTCTGAGACGATAAGGTTCAGAGAGTTTACGGCCGAAGCCGTTGATGGCTGCGAGGGTTTATGGTCCGAGGAGTGTACGGCCGTAAACCCCTTTGCGGTCCGAAGTGAAGGAATAAGATGCGATGTTTCTCGGTATTTAAGCCTTTTCCTTCTAATTTCAATTGTAATTATTTTAAGGATTTTTAACAAGTAAAGGTTATTATTATAACCTAAATAAAAACCCAAACAATAAAAAGGACCTTAGTTGACCCTCGTTTGACTTTGGTTGACTAGAGTTGACTTTACAAACAGAAAATAACGGGATGTTACATTATCCCCCCGTTAGAGAGAATTTCGTCCCGAAATTTGGATTAAAGAGATACAGAAAGACGAGGGAAAAAGATGTGGATACTTCTGTTGCATTTGATCCTCCCGCTCCCAAGTGAATTCAGGTCCCCGTTTTGCTTTCCAGCGAACCTTCACTATCGGGATACGGCTTTGTTTGGTTCTCTTTACTTCCCTGTCTAAAATCTCTACGGGTTCTTCCACGAAGTTGAGATTCTCATTTACCTCGATCTCATCGAGTGGGATAACAAGAGTCTCGTCGGATAAACACTTTTTCAAGGTAGAGACGTGGAAGACGGGATGTATGTTACTTAGTTCTTGAGGTAGTCGGAGTTTGTAAGCTACTGGACCGATTCTAGTAAGAATCTCGAATGGTCCTATGTACCTTGGATTCAGCTTGTCACGCTTTCCAAAGCGTATAATGCCCTTCCAGGGTGAGACCTTCAACATGACGCGGTCACCAACCTGGAATTCCAAAGGTTTTCTTCTTTTGTCAACTTAGCTTTTCTGTCTATCTTTGGAAGCTTTAAGTCGCTCCCGGATTTGTACGATTTTCTCTGTAGTTTTGCGAATGGTTTTCGGACCAGTAAGAGTACTGTCAGGAACTTGACCTCTAGCTAGCTACGTGTCAGTTGTCACCCACTTCAGCCTAGCACAGAGGTGATATGCACTTGCAGCGATAGAGGGCTTCGAAAGGAGCAACCTTTATGCTAGTGTGATAATTGTTGTTGTAATAGAATTCGACAAGGGGTAAATGAGTATCCCATGCCTTTCCAAAGTCTATCACGTAAGCTCATAACATGTCTTCTAAAGTTTGAATCGTCCTCTCACTTTGTTCGTCGGTTTGTGGATGGTAGGTTGTACTCATGTCCAGCCTAGTTCCCAAAGATTTTTGTAAAGACTGCCAGAAATGAGTGGTGAATCTAATATCTCGGTCTAAAATAATAAATATTGGTACACCCTGCAGTCTAACGATCTCTTTGAGTTAAGTTCTTGTTAGCTTCTCCATCTTGTCGGTCTCTTTTATTGGTAAGAAATGTGCGGATTTGGTTAATCTATCGACGATTACCCAAATAGTATCATAACCACCCGATGTCTTGGGTAAATTAGTTATGAAATTCATTGTAATCCGCTCCCACTTCCATTCAGGGATTTCAGGTTGTTGCAATAAACCTGAAGGTTTCTGATATTCTACCTTGACTTTGGCACAAGTAAGGCACTTGCCCACAAAGGTAGCGATTTCGGTCTTCATGTTAGGCCACCAGTATAGTTTCTTAAGGTCCAGATACATCTTGTCTGAACCTGATTGAATGGAGTATCGGGTTTTGTGTGCTTCGTTCATAACCACGTCTCTGTACCCACCGAACTTTGGTGTCCAGATCCGGTTCATGAAACAATAGAATCCATCATCCCTGACTTTAAAGTTTTTATCCATTCCTCTCAGGGTTTCACCTGCCACGTTTTCAGGTTTTAAGGCCTCAAGTTGACCCTCTCTGATCTGTGTGGACAGATGTGAATGGATTGTCATGGTCAACGACTTTACTCAACGTCCCGAGTATTCTTTTCTGCTAAGGGTGTCAGCTACTACGCTAGCTTTACCAGGGTGATAAAGAATCTCACATTCGTAGTCGTTCAGTAGCTCCACCCACCGTCGTTGTCTCATGTTCAGCTCTTTCTGATTGAAGATATGCTGGAGACTTTTATGGTCTGTGAATATTGTGCATTTCGTGCCATATAAATAATGTCTCCAGATTTTCAGAGCAAATACCATTGCTCCTAGTTCAAGGTCATGTGTTGTATAGTTGACTTCATGTATCTTTAGTTGTCTTGAGGCGTAGGATATAACCTTTCCTCTTTGCATAAGAACACATCCAAGCCCTTGATTAGAAGCATCACAGTACACTACAAAACCCTATGTCCCTTCAGGAAGAGACAGGATCGGTGCACTACACAGAGCTCGCTTCAGCGTTTGAAACGTTGTTTCTTGTTTCTCTCCCCAGCTAAAAGTTACACCCTTTTGCGTCAGGGTGGTAAGAGGTTTAGCAATTCGAGAGAAATTCTGGATGAATTTGCGATAGTAGTCAGCAAGACCTAAGAATTGAAGGATTTCTATAGGCGTTTTGGGTGCTGACCATTTCTCAATTGCCTTTATTTTGGAAGGGTCCACGTGTA